ATAAGAAGAGAAGTATTAAATCAACGAAAAGTTGATGCTAAAGGGGAGAATTAAAGAAGACACCAGCGACTTTAAATTATCTAGAATTTTCTGGTTTCATATCATGCTGGAAAATCTGGAGCATTTCACAATTGCCGACATTGGAGAAGAACCCAAAAGCTTGCTACATTTTTGCTCTTCACCACCATTCGTAAAAGAATCTGGAACTTGAAGCACCTTCCCACTAGAACCATCCATCACCTACTTCGTGTTTATATATGTATATGTGTGTGTGTATATATATATGTGTGTGTGTGTGTGTGTAGAGAAAAGTGAAGAGAGGCTTGGGAAGAAGAATAGAGAGAGTGAGGAAGCTGAGAATGTCATTAGTGGAGAGAGTGAGTGGATTTATATATTATTTTGTGAGTGCTTCCATTAATTAATTGAGAGGAGTATGCTTATATTGTATAATATTTTTGTTAATAAAATTGCATTTTGTTTGTTCTTCCATCTCAACATTATTATTATTGTTGTTGTTGGGTATAGATAAGGATGTCAAAAGGGTCGAGCCGCTTGTTGGCTCGACTGCTCGGCTCGTCAAAATAGGGCCCGAGCCCAAGCCGAGCTGGCCTTGTCGAAAGGCGAGCCGAGCCCTTGAGCAGCAACGAGCCACTAGCCCGGCTCGTTATTTTTAACGAGCTCGTGGCTCGTTCAAACGACGACTCAGCTCGTGGCTCGCAATGAGCTCGCAAATAAAGTGACCAAAACGGTCACTTTTTCAGTGACCGTTCCGGTCACTGAAATTTTTTTTTTAAATTTTTTCTCCCTTCTACTATAAATTCCCCTTAAGCCCCATTTATTTTTTTCATATCAATTACTCAATCACTACTCCAACTCTCTTTTATTATATCAATTATTGAGTGTTTACTCTCTTGTGCTGCAAAATATAAATAGCAATTCAATTTTTACAGTTTATTAGTTACAATTTCAATTCATCAAATTCACAATTCTCACAATCTCACTACATTTATATTTTTCTAGTCATTATATTTGAATTTCATCATAAACAATCAAACAAATGGATCAACGCTCATTTGTTGAGAGTTTATTCGATATGGGATGTGGGCCACATTATGGCGAATCGCCTAGGACGCCGCAAAGTCAATTTTCAAATGAATTTGCCGATCTAAATGACATACCCATACCTGAAAATGTTCACATTCATGGTGAGGGAAGCCACAATCCAATTTATTTGGATAATATTAACGTTCCCAAAGCGGAACATGAGGACGAAGATACCGAATTAAACATCCCAGATGGAGGGGAAATCAAAAGGCCAAAAAATAAGCAAAATGTTGCGATCACTTTAAGTTGATTTCAACAGGAAAAGTCGTCGATGGCCTTACAAAATCTAAAGCAGTATGTAAATACTGCCAACAAAAATTGGCATGGCAAAAAGGAATTGGTACCACCCGTATCAATCGCCACTACAAAGCATGTGCGGCCAGGCATGGATTTCTTCCAACTGGTCAAACACAATTATAATTTGACAGTCCAGGCGCCGGTTCTACAACTTCACCCCTATCAACGTGTGTGTATTTGGAGGACAATACTCAAACCGAAATGGTGAAATTTGTTGCCTCCGTTGAGTTGAGGGCTATTGCAGACAACCAACACTTCGTCTCGTTCGTGAAAGAATATCTGCAACCGAGGTACGTTGGGGTAAGTCAAAACACTCTTCGTGACGATACAATACAATATTTCAATAATTCAAAACAATAATTAATTATGGATTTACAACAATATGGGGGTGTTATATCTTTAACTTCTGATATATGGGAAGGGGTTAATAAAATAGCATATATAGCTGCAACCGCACACTATATAGACCCACTTCGTTGCATGCATAAGAAAATTATTGCTTTTAGAATTATTGAGTTTCCTCACAATACTAATAATATATATAATGCTATTATTAGTATTGTTAGAGAATATAATTGCGAGACTAAAATTCGGTCTTTTACTTTTGATAATGCTAGTGTTAATAAGGTAGTCATCGATAAATTGTGTAGGACACTTCAATCTGATTTTGATGGGTATTTGTTTCATATTCGTTGTGTGGGTCATATCTTGAATTTAATTGTGCAAGATGGCTTAAAACATATAAATGATAAACTTTAAAGGATTAGGAATGCATTAGTATATATTACGATCTCTCCTAGTAGAAAACAAGCATTTGGAGATTTTTATGCCGAACTAGGGGTGACGGCTGCTAAAACATTTGTTAGCGACGTAGACCATAGATAAAACTCTACTTGCTATTAAAGTCATGTGAAGGTTTCGAAAATTTAATAACAGACTTTAATAACAATAGACACATTAGAAATGATAACGATTACATGTTAAATGAATCCGATTGGATTTTAGTTTTGAAAGTTAAACGATTTTCGACATCTTTTTATGAGACCACAAAGATTTTATCTGGCGTTTATTATCCTACAAGTTGTATGGTGTTTGAACACCTTTATATAATTGCAAGAACATTCCATAAATATAAAAATGATCATACTTTTAGTGAAATCATAATTGCTATGGAGTTAAAGTTTAGAAAATATTAGAAAGAAATGCCTATGTTATTTTCTTTAGCATGCGCAATGGACCCCGATATAATATTTCGGGAGCTAAATACATAATTGATCAAATCAATAAAGTTTTAATACTTGATACACCAATCGCCTATAAGAATTTAGAGCAAATATTATGTGGAATGTATATTTATATGCGGAAAGAATGGGTGCGAATGTTAGTCGGGTACCCTCTGCACGTACTCCTTCTACGGAAATTGAAGAAGATGATATCGAAATAATGAATTTATTTCAAGGCATTAATACATTTAGATATGATGCAACTGCAATGTGTTTATTTAGTGCCATGTCGTCTACATTTGCATCTCATCAAACATCGGTCGAAACTCAAAATGTGATATTTGCCGAATTAATTGATTACTTCAATCATAATATGTCAACAGACAGACCAATAAAAAGAAGTTCAGAAAAAGTAATTGAATTCTAGCAAAAGTATGAAAGACGTTGGCCAATTGTTTCTGCAATTGCGAAAGATCTGCTGACACCTCTGGTTAGCACTATTGCTTCAGAGTCTGCTTTAAGTGTAGGTAAAAGGGTTTTGACCTATATCAGGAGCCGACTGAAAGAAGATGTTTTGGAAGCGTTAATGTACGTGAAGGATTGACATGACGCTCATTTTCGACTACAAGATAAATACGCTGAAATTGCATGTCATCAAGTAAGTGATATTTGATTTAATTATATTAATCAAAATTTCTTTATTTTTTAATCGTTAAATTTAATTTTCTTTAAAAAATTGTACACGTTACAACAAGTTGTTCGTGTACAATTTTTAACTCCGCCCACTTAAAATTAATATAGCCGATACCAAGCCCGGATAAAGGCGGAGGGTTTATATTTTATCTACTTTAAAAAGAAATTAAAAAAATATTTTTCGTAAATGTATTTCAAAAAATAATTTGTCTGCATTATATAAATATTTTATACTTTATAAAAAATATTACAATATGATATAAATAAAAAAATAAAAAAATTGTCTTCATTAAATTATTTGTATTTTTTAATACTTTTTATTTTTTTTTAAAAGTGTTTTCTATTATTTCATTTATTTGTAAAACTCTTAAAAAAAAGGACGAGCCCACGACCCAAAGCTCAGTTCAGCTCACTAGCTCGGATAAGTCACGAGCTCGTGGACCGAGTCGAGCTCGCCCAAATTGGGCTCGGCTCGCCACGAGCGCAAGCCGAGCTCATGAGGTTAAGGGCTGACTTGACTCGACTCGATCCATTGCCACCACTAGGTATAGAGATAGAACTGCATTCATCTGGATCATCAAAAGATTTGGAACTGGTGGATGTAGGTGGATTAACCTGGCCCACTAAAAAATTTTATATGAAAAATTTATTTTATTTTTACATATTACCTCGACTTAAAAATAAATTCAGTCCAGGATCCAAAATACTAACCACACAACATACAAGATTGACGAGTGTCATACAACAAAAAACTAACTACACCCCTAACAGACCCCGCCTTGCAACAAACAAAGTTATATGTCTACAACATGCAAGAATTGCGAAGATAGACGACACTGAAATAAAACAACATTTTTCTCCTTTTTTTTTTGATATCCAGGTATCCCAACTTACATTAGATCAAATCTTGGACCCCCAAGATCCTTACCCCTAGAACCTTGGAGGGGGTAAATCGCTGGTTATGCCTCAACTGGATCACGGGTTCCCCTCACCGCCTGTACACTTTTGCGTACAAGAGATCCTCCTCCAAAGTGATTGCTCCATACCAAATAAATCTGGCCGCATGTTCCCACCAAGATTCGAACCTCCACCCTGCCGCTGAAAGTAAGACAAATGTTGATTGATCCACCAGTTGAGTTGTGCCCAAAGGACAACATTTTTCTCTTTTTCCTTTTGGGTAAAGGAGGAGAACTGCATTCCTATGGATCATCACAAGATTGGATTACAACATAGCTAATGCCATAAGAATATACTAAACACTAACCAAAAAACATAAAGGTTCAAGCTATTGATTGTCGTTAAACTTATATGCTGTAGCAAAATTCCAGTTTGGTTTCTATATTTTTCTTTCAACCGAATTACTCAAACTTTGGGCTGATATTAATTTGCCATGTTTCTGATGGTATACCACATCAACTACATTTTCGTTGTCGGATACCAACCCAACATTCCACTGAAATTCGGTGACTATGTCAGAATTTGTTGTTAGTTTGACCAACGGGAAATGGATTGTGACCAGTTGACGTTGTCTCGAAAGTGGTAACTTGATTGGAAAAATAAAAGAAAAGAGTTTCGAATTTTGCCAGCGATAATATAAAATTTTAACTTCGAAACAAACAAAATGAGAGTAACATCATTATCTCCAGAATAATTTTCAATAACTTTTGAAGGGGACTTTGCACGAAAAGAAAGCAAATAATTCTAACAATATTATTCACGCATATGCACCAGCTGTTCGCCGAAAAACAAAAAAAAGGTACAAGACCTAAGTTACAATCAAACTAACCATGATTGCAAGTTTGCAAACTATCACAAAACAACAAACTACGAGAAATTATTAAGTTACACAAGAACACACACAATTATAGCCATTAGGTTCATCGAGTAATTATGACCTTGGCCTTGATGGGATGGTACCAGGCCTTGTCTGCATGATGCCAGGTTTTGTAAACCAAGTTGTGTAAAGGAATTGTTTGGTCGGCCCTACATGGTTGCATATTAGCTTAAGTTTCTGCCTTTCTCTCATCCATCTCAGCACTATTTTCATGTGCCTTTTGCTTGTTAGTCCTTTCAATCCAACTTCCTGGTAATGGCACGAAACAAATTCAAGATCAGCCTATCAAACAAGAGTTTCTGGTAATCAAAAGCATAATGCTTGAGGGATCCGTTTGTTTAACTGTGGAATAGTCTTTTTGATGTTTATGTAAATTTTAATTTCATGTGGAGAATGAAGAAAAATAGAGAAAATTTCACCTACATGCTTCCTCATTGAATTATCTTGACTTTGGATCCTCAACTTTTAACTTTTGTAGCATTGGATTTTTAAATAACGGATCTGTCCAGTTTAATCATTAACTAGTCACGCGTCTCCTAGTAATGCACTGTTCTGCGGCAACAATAGGCTATTTAAGGAAAAAAAGAACAGAATTCAATAATTACCTGCTTTACCCAACCACATCCACACCCCCGTCGCCTACCCCTACTACCCCCACCCGCAGTCCAGCTCTCTCCCCACCCACCCCTTTCTTACTCCTTGCCTCTAGTCCACTCCCTTTACTCCACCCTGTCAACCCGGCGCCCAATGTTCACCCCTCGCTTTTCCACCACCCTTACGCCCCCTCGACTACTCCTGTTCCCACCCCTGTGCGCCTTCACCCTCACCGTACCATCGTAATCTAAATCATTCTCCTCTCCTACCCTCCGGCCGCCTTCACCATGTTCTCACCCGTATGGTTGCACATCCCCAACCTTCACCACTCCCTTCTCACTTTCTTTTCTCGCTTCCCCTTCCACGTGCAACATCTGCCCCATACCCTGCATAGGCGACAATGAAAGGAGGGGAGGGGTGACAATTTATTTCCTTTTTCTTAATATATATCTTTTTGAACAACACTTTTTAAGACGCGTGATAGTTACATAGCTAAACCAGGTGGAATCCATCAGCAGGACCCAAATGCTGTAAAAATTGAAATTTGGGATATCCCAAATTCAAGTAAAATTGAATAGAAACCCAAGTGCTCAATTAAGTACAAAATGGGAATCATATATGCAATTCTACCAAAAATTATCATGAAACAAGTAAAACAAACTATTTTAGAGCATATTGTGGCTCATTTAAGTACAAAATGGGAAATGCAATTCTACCAAAAATTATCATGAAACAAGTAAAACAAAACTACCATAGAGCATATTGTGTTGAATATAGACACCAAAAGAAAATAATTTTTATTGATGAAATAAAATTTTACACAATTTTGACCACACATCAAAGACACTAACCAAAACACACTTAGAACACCTCACTATTTATTTTGTAAACTCACAGTACTATTATTTTTCACACTCCAATTCTTTTTCCCACTATTACTTCTCTCTTCTCACTCTTCATCATTCTCACGCCACTTACTCTCTCTTTCTGCTCTCCTTCTCTCTCTCACACACACAAACACACACACATACACATGTAAAGTCGGTGGTCTCCTTCTAGTATGTCGGTGGATAGCTTATAATTTTTCCTGCTAGAGAATTCTAGAATGATAGTGAGCTTTAGGAAAACCGAAAAATTCTAGTGTTTTCCAGCTGAGAAGATGGAATGGTCGATGGGTTTGCTGCCTACAATTTTCTAGAGAATTCTATAAGTCGGTGTTGATCTTCAATTCTCTCATTCAACACTGACTTTACATTTTAACTCTTTTCATTTTTGTTACGTCTAATTTTGCTTTGACGAATTTTGAAATACTCGATTTCTCGTTCAGCATATGCTGCTACTTCAAAGATTTTTAGATTGTATACTTGGTACTTCAATTCTCACGTTCACCTAATTTTCTTATTTGTAATTGTAAATTTGTACATACCTTGATCTCCTGTTGACTTTGTCGATCCTTCACTATTATTTCCTGATCCACACCATTTTGTTCAGGATTCTGTATTGCTCTGATAAATTTTTCTTGAACATTTGATACCTATAGATGATTTGATCCAACGTCGCTTCGTCGTACTTCTATGATCTCCTCTTGCAATTTGTCTTCAATTTCCTTTGAATCTTGTAGATCCATCCTCTTCGATGTTTGCTTTACCCTTAGCAGATCTACTCTTTGCGATGTCTACGTTTCTTCGAACACTTCTTCTAATTCTAATAGTTCCTCTCTATGCAGAGTCCAACTTTGTGATACCAAACGAGGGTGGCACCGCTTTGTATATTGAGTCTTGTGGTGTGGCCCTTCAGAGGTATCCTGCAAACTCTTTATGAAACACGATGTTATCTCCGAAGTCGTTGATCCAATCATCTTTTCTTGAGTCATCAATCCAATCATCTCCATAATCCATTTGCTCAGACAGGACCACCACTAACATTGATTCATCCTTTATATTTGAATTAAATTTCTTTTCTCGAGCCTACTCAATTATTGCTATGGTTGCCTCAGCATCCAATTTTTCTTCACTAGTGTATTTATCTTTCTTGTTGGAAGTTGCTACATTACCTTCTGCCGACTCCTTTTTAAACCAACAGTCTCTAGCATAATGGCCTCATTTGCCATATACAAAGCACGCGCCATTAGTTTGTTGATATCCTTGACCTCTCTTATCACAAGTTTGCCGAGCTCCCCTTATTTGGTAGCTTCTCTTAATCCATCCTTTAAATTTACCTTCTTTAAATTCTTTATTATTTTGTTAACGGGGTCGACCTCTTTTTTTATGGCTAAAAAATGCTTCATCTTTTTTCTTTATTGAAACTCCTAACATTGGTCTGGTTAACGTTTCTTGATTGGCCAGCAAATTTTCAAGATTGACCAATGAAAGTTGCTCTGACCAACCTTCTATTGCGGAAATGAAACTTCTAAATTCAGGTCTCAATCCATGCATAGTTATTCTTCTTATTTGAGACTCTGAAATCTTTCTTGAAGCGTCTAACTTATAAATTTCACGACAAAGATATTTAACTTTAGTAAAATATTGATTTATCGTTAATTCCTCTTGAGTAATCGAGAGCGGCCCGTTCTCCAACAATTGCAACCCAGGTCATTTTTCTTCGAGAATAGTGAGGCTAAAGCGTCCCATGCTTCCTTTCGTGTAATCTTGTCTCTTATGTGCTCGAATAATTCTTCTTCGATTTTTGTCTTCATAACAAACAAAGCCTTGCCCGCATTGATTCTCCATTTCTTCAAAGCTCCAGCCTCTTTTGGCGGCGTTACGTCACTTTCGCCATCTACCTCCCATATGTCTTGCCCTTGGAGATACGACTTCATGCAAGTTTGCCATGTGGTGTAATTTTGATTATTGAACTTCTTTACTCTGCCTACTGCTTGTAGGTCGCTCATCGTAACTTGATATACCTCCTTGTAATCAAGCAAGCTTTACAAAAGCTTCACAAACTCTTTTTGTGCACGAACTCAAGAAGCTCAAAAAATCCTTCCCCGACCGTCTCGGTCTGATACCAAATTGTTGAATTTAAACACCAAAAGAAAATAATTTTTATTTATGAAACAAAAATTTTACACAATTTTGAACGCACTCCAGAGACACTAACCAAAACACACTAGAACACCTCACTATTTATTTTGTGAGCACCTCACTATTTATTTTGTAAACTCACAATACTTTTATTTTTCACACTCTAATTCTTTTTCCCACTATTATTTCTCTCTCTTCTCACTCTTCATAATTCTCACGCCACTTACTCTCTCTTTTTGCTCTCCTTCTCTCTCACTTTCTGCACACACTCAACACACACACACACACACACACACATATATACACATGCAAAGTCGGTGGTCTCCTTCTAGTGTGTTGGTGGTTAGCTTATAATTTTTCATGCTAGAGAATTCTAGAATGGTAGTGAGCTTTAGGAAAACCGGAAAATTCTAGTGTCTTCCAGCTGAGAAGATGAAATGGTTGGTGGGTTTGCTGCCTACAATTTTATGAAGAATTCTATAAGTTGGTGTTGATCTTCATATTGTGTACTCTTTTTGCATATCACCAATAAGATACTGCTAAGAACTGCTCATCAACATAAAATGGAAAGTGAAAGAAAAGTAAAAATCATGGTTC